GAATGCATCAACCACAAATTGTTGGAATAGCCGCCCACCTAGTATCAATGTGTTTCCTTCATTTCTCCTGTATTGAATGATGTACCCATAATATTCACTCATTGTTAGAGTTTGTCTTTTTGTCTTGCGCTTTCCTTCATTTTTATGGTAACGAATTCCAACATGATAGCCGTCTTCTCCTTAAGGGAATGAAATGGGATATTGTAGTGCCATGAAAAGTGGGTGCAACTCTGTGATTCTTTTTAGTCCCTCGTATTTATGTTCAACAACTACATCTCTTCCAACTTCACAATTCCCCAAGTCCCCAACTATAAGTGCTGCCACTTCAGAAGTCATTGGCCTTTCATAGGTCTTTGGATCTGATTCCCTCCTTCCAATCAAACGAATGCCCAGTTCAGCATTGTCTGAGTTTTTAAATCGGTCCCTTGCTGATCTGAATACTTGAACAATGGGATTATGTGTATCAAACATTTCAATCAATCCTTATATTATGCTAGGATCCAAATCATCACCATCATTAGTGTGCAAACACTTCATCCTGTTCTCTATCTCATTTTCTGTATCATATATGTAAAGTTGGGCAAACTTTGGAGTTTTGCCTATAGGTGGTAGCAATGAGCCTATTTTATGATGATTTTTCCCACTTATTCAATAGACAAAAGGACCATTCTTGTTCACACTTCTATCAATATTGCCACCTATTGTTGTAAATGCAAATGATCCATTGTACCTTCTGATATTCCTTCTAAAGACAACAGAGTCTTGATCACCTCTAGGGTTCAATAATCTCCTTAGCAAGATTGGTGGTTTTCTAAATGGTGTCAGCTTGATTTTTCCTTCTTGGCAACAAAGTGAAAATGAAGGTGTAATACCCCAAAATTTTGTGCTATTTTAGCATTTAAGTAAGGGTTTTTGTGTGAAAAAATATTGTTTTGGGGCCTAATGTGAATATTTTGAAAGTTAAGGGACTTAAAAAGGGAAAAGATTTTGGATAAGGATGAGTTTCTTTTCTTTTTCTTTTTCTCCCTTTTCCTCTTTCTTCTCCAGCCCGTTTTTGCTCTTGTCTTCCCGCTGCAACCCGAGAAGAAAAAAAAAGGGGAACCCAGCCATGCCTTGAGAAACCGGTGAGATAAGCTTGGTTTTCTCCTTCCCTTCTTGCTCTAGAACACACCTAGAACCCAGAAATTTCCCCTCCCTCTCTGCAGAAGCCGGATCTGCCCTGCTCTGCTTTGTCCTTCCGCCGGCTGCTCTTGTTGTGGGTGATTTCTGGGCATTTTTTTGGGTAAGAACAGCCCCTAATTCCTTTGTTCTTGCTTGAATTGGCTTGGGTTAACTTTGATTGCTCTTATTTCCTCCAATTTTTGGGTAGATTGCGTGATTCTTCTTCCACTGCCGCCGACTTCTCTTCCCCCTGCAGCTCCGGTTTTAGCTGGAGAATTATGGTATGTGATGACCATTTAAGCTTGAAATTATCCATATAGTTTGCTGCTTTGTGTTGTCCGAATTTTGCTAGAAAAATGGGGAAATTCCGGTAGCAATTAAGAGGGGTTTTAAGTGTGTTTTGTTGCTTAATTCATGTGTAAATTGCTTGAGTTGGCTGCTGTGATTTTTGGCGAAAATCCCGTGAGATTAGCTAGTGTTTTAGCCAATTTGTGGGAGTGGAGTTACTGTTCACGTCGGGGTACTGTTCACGGGTACTGTTCATCGATACTGTTCACACCCCGAGGGCCAACAATTAACGGGGATTTAAATGATTAGTTTGTGATATAAGAACGAATTTGAAGATATTTGATTATGTGGAGATTGATAGGAATAGCATCGGGATTATGGGTGATCTTAATGATGATTCAGTGTGAATTTGTGAGAGTACGGTATTGATTCTTGGATGTTTTGATTAGGTTTCTGATCGTTCTGTCAGTTTAGTACGTGAATTGAGTGCTCGATTTATGCGAGTGAGGTAAGTAAATTTATGGTAATGCCCGTACAATTTTAAAAGCATATTTTGATTTGTTTTTGAAGTGGTGGCGGGACTAAACCTGTTTTACACAAGTATGACTGATTTGAAGTGAAATGTTTTATGCTTTTCACTAAATTGAGCATGCTTACTTGAAATGTAAGTGATTGTTCTGATGATTTGAAAGTGATTGTGAATTGTGATTTTCCTGTTAACTTCTGTCTGTTTTGTCTCCGATGTGGTCATGTTATTCGTGTGCCCGCTAGTGGGAGGTTTATAAACGCTAGCACATGTCGACATGTTACTGATAGAACCGGTTCGTTCCTGTAATCCTACTAGTGGGAGTTAAACACTAGTAAATCGTGTGCCCGCCAGTGGGAGGTTTATAAACGCTGGCCGTGACCTATAGAGGAGACGTCTATTTCATGCCCGTACTCGTATCTGTTTTTCGTGATTGCACATGTTGGCATGCTATATGTTTAAATAAGGGCACTCCATATTTACTTACTGAGTTTATCTCATAGTTTTTCCTTATCCACCATTTCAGGAGTGAAACTGAGGACGGGGAAACCATGGGAAGTGACGAGTTAGAAAGCTAGCCATTTCGAGATTGATAGAGATTTTAGAAATAAATTATGATCTTGTAAGCTAGAGTGTATTTGGAGATCTTATGATATCAGAGAGAATTTTATAATTTGATCTTCAGATTTTGGTGGTATCAGATTGTGATTTGATTAAGTTCCGAGCCTTGTGCATTTGTGGGACTCGTCTCACGAGTGCACGGCGTCTGTCGCGCCTCGAAATTGGGTTTTGGGGCGTGACAGAAGGATTTTTAGTTTGCTTGGTTTTGTCAACTCTTTCTGCACCCCATAATATGGCCTTGCAGTCTTTGCATTCATATTGAGGAGGGCCCAAATTGTCATACAATGGAGTTGACACTACAAAATATAACCTATTCTTATTATAGTTCTTTGGACAATAGTTTCAAATGGATATTTAACAATGTGGAACAAAATGATCCATACCTATTGAAGAGCTATCTTGTGAGTTTGCAGTGGAAAAAGAAGCTAGGTTTACATCCGCATCAATACCTATAATTTGTTTATAGTACATTGATTAGTTGGATTGAATATAACTGTATTCACATCAAAGAGCATGTTTTTATTTAACATAAATTTCCTAAATGAGTACACTGATTTCATTTGCAACTATGAAAACTCAATTATAGATAAATGCTTTTATAATGAATTGAGAATGTATGAGAGACTCATACTCACTGTTTAAAGTATATGCACATCAACTTCTAAGAGTCCCATGTTCATCCTCATGTGATTGAACTTGTAATGTGATCCTTCTATGTAAATTATTTTCAAAGATGTCTGACAAATTCTTCCTGAAAAGAGATTATTATTAAATAGAGTAAGTCAACAATAATATATATAATTAGAGACAACTCAAAAGCAAATGAAAAGTGTAAAAAAAAAAATTTATTTTTATTTTGAAAAGCAACCTATATTTTATTTTTAGTTTTTTTAATATTAAAAGAATAAATCTATATTTATATATCTATTTTTTTATATATCTATCTATTTATAA